GTCTCGAGTCGAGCCTGGTGCCTGGGGCTAGGAAAATACCCACCTACCACGAGAATCCCAAAGCCCTAAACCCTAAACCCTAAACCCTAAACCCTAAACCCTAAACCCTAAACCCTAAACATTAAGAAACACAGGGGTTATTGTTGTCTCCACACAGCTGATTTCAACTTTTCCGCTGGAACCCAAATCGGGCCTTGCCCACGAATTTTCGGGCCAGATCTTCCGGAATTTTAAAAGCTATTCCGTTAGTGTGTAACCCTAAACCCCAAACCCTAAACTCTAACCCTAAACCCCAAACCTAAACCCTAAACCCCAAACCCTAAACCCTAAACCCCAAACCCTAAACCATCTCCGATGACCAGGGCCCTGGTTTCGTCCGGGCGCTGAAGGATCGTCTGCAGCCGCTGCTTCCTGTCCACAGGGTTTGTGTAGGGTTTGGGTTTAGGGTCTAGGGTCTAGGGTTTAGGGTTTAGGGTTTACGGTTTAGGGTTTAGGGTTTAGGCGGGTTTAGGGTTTGGGGTTATAGGGAGTTTCTAGGATGCCAGTAACCCAGTAGTACCCTTACAGACCCCTTTTTTCAGCAAAAAAGTGCACCCTATTCAACCCCAGGTTACTGGGTAACCTAGGTTTGGGGTTTGTTTAGGATTTACTGTTTTGAGTTGAGGATTTGGGGTTCAGGGGGTAGCCTTCAAAACCTGGTGATATCCAAAAGAAAGGCTCCCGGGCACTCAAAACTTCAGGGCTTTGAGGGTTCCAGGAACCAAAGCGACCCTTATGCTTAACACCAGTTAGGGCATTTAACTAGTTTTTGGGGCGGTGTTTGGATTGCGAGTTTTGCGGCTTTTTCTCGCTCGACAGCTTGTTGGCTTCTCGCGTTCAGCGTCTTTAAGGATTCTAGTGTTTAGAGGTTTTGCTTCACCTATTCGGGTAAGATCGCACACTCGGCAGTGGGGGCCCTCCGAAACCCCAACCCCAAAAAAGGGAATAAGGGCCTACTCTAGGTCCATGTCTTGGCAACTTGGGAGCTGCGACTGCACCTGAGACAGAACCTCCTGGGTGCGAGCTGACTGCGAGCCGACATGCACAGCCTGCGGGGTTTAGGGTTTATAGGGTATAGGGTTTCGGGTTTAGGGGAATTGGGGTGATCAGCATCACCGAGAGGCAGCACGACTTACAATCGGCAATCCGGAACGCCACAGAAGTGGCATTTCCATGCATTTATGCTCATTTTCATGGGCTGCGAGCACGTGGCAACGTGGCATCTTGACCAGATTCTAGCTCAGCTTTTTCGGGTAGGAGCCACCAGAAATGACAGGTGCAGATGGCTCGATGTCCAAGCTTTGTACCTCCAAGTTGGACGGTTCCTGGAAGAGTTTAGGGTTTAGGGTTTGGGGAAGATGGCCCATCGAGTTCCTGATGGGGGGTCTAAGGGAGTTCTAAGGTCTAGGGTCTAGGGTCTAGGCTTCTAGGGTTTAGGTTTCCCTTGGAAGCTTTAAACGAAAAAGGGCACCCTTCTTTATTCCTAGGTTACTCTTCGTGCGGCTCCAGGCATGCCTCTTCAGGGTTTATGAGGTGGGGAGCATCTGCATCTGGCACTGAAGGTCGCGCGGTTTAGGGTTTAGGGTTTAGGGTTTAGGGTTTAGGGTTTAGGGTTTAGGGTTTGGGGTTTGGGGTTTAGGGTTCGGGGTAGTATCCCCGATAGCTTTGGTGAACAGCAGAAGCACACCTCCGTGATGGGGCTTAGGGTCCAGAGGGAACTTGCAACTTGGGATTTCGAAGAAGACTTTCAGGGTTCAGGACCGAGATAGGTAGGTCAAAAGCTGCGCCATTCCGAGTATAGAGAGTCGGGCTGTAAAGCTCTAGACACCCCAAACCCCGAAGCTCCTATACCACAAAAGCCCCATATGGCCCATAAGCTCAAAAGCCCGAAACCCTTTGAACCTTGCACCCTAAAAGTCCGAAGCCCTGAAAGCCTAAACCCTTCGAACCCTTAACCCTAAAATTCCCTAAAAAGCCCGAACCCCCCAACACCCGAAATCCTTGGAACCCTAAACCCTATACCCTAAACCCTAAACCCTAAACCCTAAACCCAGTGAACCCTAAACCCTAAACCCTAAACCCAGTGAACCCTAGACCCTTTTTGGGAAACTGAGGCTTGGTGGTGCCTCCCGCTTCAGGCAGCGCCTCCTCTGCAGCGACGCAGCTTTGTCAGATGGGGTGACCTACGAGGCCGGCCTTAGGGTTTGGGGTTTAGGGTTTAGGGTTTAGGGTTTAGGGTTTAGGGTTTAGGGTCCAGGGTTTAGGGTTTAGGGTTTAGGGTCTAGGGTCCGGGGTCCAGGGTCCAGGGTCTAGGGTTTCGGGTTTAGGGTTTAGGGGTTCAGGGTTCAGGGTTACTCTGCGTCGCATGGCCCCTTCTGGGTATATACCCTAATCATACCCAGGGCAGCATTTTTATTGGGATAAGGCCACAGCTTTCGCGAACGGACCTAATGAACAGACCTTATTTCCCAGACCCTAAAACCCTGATCCCTAAACCCTAAACCCCAAACCCTGCTAAGCAGGAATTGGGTTGTCCTCGTGAGCTGCAGGTCGTCGCCAGGCGGCAGAACTTGGTTTGGGGTTCAGGGGTTTGGGGTTAGGGCTTTTGGGATTTAGAGGTTCCGGATGTAGGAGCTTGGAGCTTGGGGCTTAGGGGATGTAGGGGCTTAGGGTTTAAGGTCCTTTGTTTTCTTGGTTTTTTGGTTTGGGGTTGACAGAGTGGTTTGGAAATTTAAGGTAACACTTGGCGGAGAATGAAGCCTATTGATGCAATGTCTGGCCCTCAGCAAGGAGGCCTGGATGCCACAAAAGGGGTTTGGGGTTTAGTAACTTATCATCTTACTTCGCCTTTAGTTGAACTTTAAACTTTTTGGGTTTCCTTATTTAGTCGGAATAATAAAGTTTAACCTTGTTTTCCCCTTGGTTATTGGAGAAGTAAGTCATACGGTATAACTACACCCACAATGCCCTTCTCGAATTCTCTAGACGCCCAGGTTATGGTGATTGTCTAGGGGTGGCTTCATGGGCCCTCAATATGGCCCCTTAGCTTCTTTAAAGGGTTCTGAAGTACGGTCCCCTTTTCGGGGCCCATACGAAGGGACCATGTAACTGCCCTAAGAGATAGGCGCCAAGATTTGGTACTTGAGTGTCTTGAGTGTCAGACCATCCTCGCTCAATCCTACATCCCGGAAGCCGGATGCAAAGTACCTGTTCCCAAAATTTCCCTACATGTCCCTTCTAAGCCAAAAAGGAATCCTTAAGCATTGCCCAGAAGGACCAGGTAGATCAACCACCGTAAGCTAGTGCCCATTTCGTTAGAATGTCTTAAGTACCGAAACCTTAAACCTGGAGGGGGGTGCACCAGGGGGGGGGGGAGGGGGGGCAGGAGGCAAACCTGACGGCGACCCTGCGAGGGGAGTCTGCGGACAAGTGTATAGGGGTATAAAATGTAGCTAGCAGAAATACATTTTGGTCATCAAACAGGCCCCTGTACTTTGTCATCCCCAGTGCTGTCAAGAGGACTCACGCAGAACAGGTCCCTGCTTGTGAGCCAAGGTTGTGCTGCCCTACTGCCAAGACAAGGCGGCGCTGTAGTACTCCGCTTTGAGTATCACAGGGGACACAGCATATTCTTGCAATACAGTATCCAGAGAGCAAGATTTTGTCCTTGGCTCCAAATGTAAACACACATCATCGTTGCTTGACATTGTACCAATGCGGCCTTTGAATTCCGAACAGAAGGAGGCTGCATCCGTGAAGAGCTACACCATTGTGGATTGTCGGGTTGGCACATGCACGAAGCGGTCACGAAGGATGGAATGGACACGAGAGCTTCTGCACAAACCTGCAACCTCAAGACTCGAGTTCGCGTCACCGGAACCCAGAAGGCCTCAAAACATCAAAGCATGCATTAACTAGTATTCGAGCCTCCGTTCTTTGACTACAACTACGGATTGCCGAGCCAATATAGGCCCGAGAGGCTTTTTACAGCCGACTCCCTGAACACAATATCCCTAAACCCTAAACCCTAAACCCTAAACCCTAAAACCCTAAACCCTAAACCCTAAATTAATGGCTTAAGGTTTGGGATCCCTCAACCGTGTGAGGCGTTGGAGCTACGATCCGCTTCGGCGAGAGGCTTCCGTGGTTTTCTGGGCGCTTAATTGGTGTAATTTAGGGTTCAGGATGGGGAGTTCCGGGGTTGAGGGCTTTGCTAAGGTGTCGGGTTTTGCACACGGGGCTGGCATTTATGTTGTACCCGCTCACGGGGTGAAAGTGGGAGCGACTCTCTCCGTAGACAGGTGCAGCCTTGATTGCGCCTATTGTTTTGTGAGCTCGCTGCGGCCTTTATACCTGAGCGTTCCATGAACCTCCTCTTTGTTCGGAGGCTTCATGGTTTCGGGCTAGGGGCTGCATGGAGTTTATGAATCCTCAGACCCCCCCTCCCCCGCTAAACCCTCGAGTTTCTCAACCCATCCTGGGCCTCCAGAAACTTAGATGACATCCTAAACATTACGCCATGAAAGCCCTAAACCCTTACCCCCCAAAGCCCGAAACCCTAAACCCCAAACCCTAAACCCTAAACCCTAAAGCCTAAACCCTAAACCCTAAACCCTAAACCCTAAACCCTAAACCCTAAACCCTAAACCCTTGCTTGTGGTAGCAGGAGCCCTGGATGAGGTGAAACAGCTCCTGGAGCTGCCACAGGCTGTGGGATAGCGGAGTGGGTTTACGGCAGCTCCATGGGAACCTCTGGGGAACCATGTTCTGTCAGCTCGGAATGCTTCTTGTGCCATTCGGGATCAAGCAGTGAGTGTGTCTTTGGGTGTTGTCACTGTCCGCAAGAAGAGTAAAGGATTACATATTGCCTCACAGGTCCACTGAGCCTTTCCGCTACTGAGCTACTGATAAGCTATTCGACAACATCCCTCAGAACTGTGAGCAAGCTGGGCACGCCATGAATGAATCCTTGGGGCCTGCGTTGTGCCAACACGCACTGCGAGTGCCAAGTCACTTGCCGTGACTTCGGAGGATTCTGTTGCAAGCGTGGCCACGCCAACTTCTTCCGCTACGAGATCCACTGTCAACACTGCAGCCACGGCACCGCCCATGAGTTCAAATGTGTTCAAAAGCCGGCGGCTCCGAGTCTGAGGCGCGCAGTGCCTACACCGCCCAAGGATCCTGCAGCCGAGAGCCGGAGCGCCAATGCGGTGCACTTGAACCGAGTGGGAGAGTGGAGCTCCAAGTGGAGCGACTCGCGCTGCGCAGCGTGCAAAGAAGCGGCCAAGGAACCACCATGTCGGACTCCCCGTCCGAAGACACGGCCCAGGACGTCGAAGAAGCCTCCCACTTCAGATGCGCCTCCCGAGAATCAAGAGCCTCCAGCACTTGAACCTGCCACAGCATCTGGCAGCAAGCGCGCTGCGGCTTCGACTGGATCGAGCACACAAAGCCGGCAGCCGCCGGCAGGTGCAAGAGAAGAAACAGTCACAGCAATTCGGAGAGCGCCAGGGGCCAGTGTTAGTCTCAAGGACATACGAGCTTGGGAAAAGGTGGCTCGTCTTGCAAGAGTGGCTGGCTCAGCGGTGGGCAAAATGCGTGAGAGGCCGACGCCATATCCAGCCGACTTGCCCATAGTGGCGGATCATGAGCAACCGAGCACCAGGTACCCATTCCCACCAAAGCCAGCGGGCACGGTGGACTCGGTCCCAGCCCAGACATCAGACGTCCCCATAGCGGTGGACTTTGACTCGGAGCCAGAGCCACCACAGCCAGCAGAGCCACGAGGCACCCCCGTGGTGCCGAAACATACGGCACCGAAAGCCGCGCACCACTTCCCTCAACCGCCACCAGGAGAACATCAGCACCGTGAGTATTTCGATAAGACTCTATCCGTGGAATCATGCCGGGAAGCCCAGGCCATGATGAGAGATGTCATCTCTCATCATGGCCTCGGCTTCGGGGCAATGTGCTGAAGAGGGCTACCTGCCGCAGCAAGGCGACTGGACGTTGGCAGACGTCCGGTTCGTCAATTTTCTGAGCAGGAACAAGAAGTTCAAGCTTCAGGCGGACGAGAAGTGGGTCGTTGGATCCCATCCTGCGGATCCTTGCGAAGCAGTGTGCTTCTGCCGCAGATGCGTCACGGCATATGTTTGAGGTCAGCATGCCGACCAGCATGGACCGATGCCACCACAGTCTCGACATGCCCGACACCAGTACCTATGTATTATCATGTTGCACCTTCGTGGCACCTTCGTTGCACCTTCGTTGCACCTTGACCTTGAGTTGCCTCGGAGAACGAACACGTGCTGCTTTGCATGGTTCATGAATATGGTTGTTTGTTTTGCTTGGGGATGTTCGGGATAGTTTGGGGCTTCGGGTTCATGGGGTGGCTGCATGAAGCTGGCAGCTGCATCCAGACTCTAGGCCCTGAACCCTAAGCCCTAAACCCCTGCACACTTCTGCACCCTTTGCCAACAAGAAATAGTCAACTCCACACCCAAACACCCTAAACTTATACAGTCCTTGTGTGAGGGGGTTCAAGGGAGGTAGGATCCTTAGAGGGAGAGGGGCTCAAGGGGGTTCAGGGTTTAGGGTTTAGGGTTTCGGCTCAAGCGGGGCTTATAACCCAAGGTTCCCTAAGACTCCCCACTAGTCCTAAGGCTCCCTCGCTAAGCTTCCCTAACGTTCCATAGGTACCTACCCCTCATGAACACCGGCCCTTAAGAACCCGATTCTAGAACGTAAGCCCACAACCCTAAACCCTAAACCCTGACCCTAAACCCTATAAGCCCTCAGCCCTACACCCCTAGGCCCCAACCTGAATACCCAACCCCGGGCTCGGGCTTTGAAAAAGACCCGAAGTTCCGTGGTGGGAGCCCTTCAGGGTTTAGGTTTAGGTTTAGGGTTTAGGGTTTAGGGTTTAGGGTTTAGGGTTTAGGGTTTAGTGTTTAGGGTTTAGGGTTTAGGGTTTAGGGTTTAGGGTTGTGTGTGACCCTAGTAGTAGAGTAGGTAACCTTTCACCTTTTTGGGGGTAGTATGATCCCCTTATATTCCCAAAGGTTAACCTTTAATTCCCCCAGAAAAACTGGACAACTAAGTGACTGTGTGTCTTGGAAGCTCAACAGCCCTGCACGCCAGAAGTCACAGACTCCAAGATTCCACGGAGCTATGTCTTGATTTGCGGGATCCCTTAGAGGCTGAGGACGTCGGAGCTACGCCTTGCAGCATACTCTAAACCCTAGCCCAAAGGGTCCATGTACCCTGTATAGTACATGCTTGGGCCCCAAAAACCCCTTGAAGGCCCAAGCATATGGTACATGGACCCTCAGGGTAAGGGCCCTCGAGCCTTGTCAAGTCTTTGTAACCCCCCCCCCCGCCACTCTGCCAGCCGCCACTCTGCCAGCGCGCGTGCGCGCATCTGCTTTACTCGGGAACCCAAAATCGCCGTAGACCACAAGTGGCAGGGAGTATTTCGAAACCCTAAGCCCTAAGCCGCAAGCCCAAACCTTATGACCCTAACCCTAAACCCTATACCCTAAACCCCAAACCCTAAACCTTAAACCCTAAACCTTACATGTAAACCCTGAATCCTAAGCTCGTTGGGAAGGTTTGGGCCCCCCCCCCCCCCCCCTACGGCTGCAAGGACCCGAACGCCGCCGGCGCCGAGGACAGCGTCCTAAGCAGCAGGCACTTCGAGGGTGTAAGGTTTAGGGTTTAGGGTTCAGGGTTTAGGGTTTAGGGTTTGAGATTAGGGCTCCGATAGGTCTTAGGGCTTCGGGTTTTTCGCGGGTTTCGGGTTTAGGATGTTGCTTGGGTTTAGGGTTACGGACTATAGGTGTACCTTATACAATCGTCTCCCTTTAAAGGCATCAGTTCCGCTGGAACCCATCTAAGCCGCCCTAACCCTAAGCCCCGAAGTATTCTAGGCCTCCGAACCCCTCCCCCCTCCCCAACCCCCCCAAGCCCCAAACCCCCAAAAGCCCCCTAAGCCCTAAACCCTAAACCCTAAACTCTAAACCCTAAACCCAAACCGTCAACAAAACCTAAGCCCCAAGCCTGGCCGGTTACAGCGCCGACTCACGTTCCGACATTTTGTCAATTTCAGCTGGTCCTTAGTAGGGCATGAGGGAATATGAGGTACTCTATAGAATCCCTTACAGGGTATAGCATAAGGGGGAAACCCGCCCTGAACCCTACACCCTAAACCCTAAACCCTAAACCCTAAACCCTGAACCCTAAACCCTAAACCCTAAACCCTGAGGCTCGGCCGTGAGCTGACCCTCACGCCGCTGCAGTGCGCAGCCGATTGTGGGCAGTGCCAGGCAGGGTTTAGGTTTAGGGTTTAGGGTGTAGGGTTTAGGGTTTAGGGTTTAGGGTTTAGGGTTTACGTTTTCGAGGTTGATGGTTTGGAGGTTTAGGGTTTGGAGGCTTAGGGTTGGGGTTTGGAGGTTTAGGGTTGGTGTGGGGTGTCGGTGGTTTTGTTTTTGCAGGGTTTTGTGACTAAATCCTCAAGCAAGCGACTCTGGAAGGATGCCTTTTTTTTTCTCCTGAGATCCAGAGACCCCAAATGGGCCTGAATTCAGGAACACACCCCATACGACACCCTAAATTACTAAACCCTAAACCCTAAACCCTAAACCCTAAACCCTAAACCCTTGCGGGCTTCCAGAGACAGGTGGTGGAGCTTCTCCTGGAAGCTGCGGCCCGACCAGACCATGGTGCGCCCCGGGGTTAAGGGGTTTGGGGTTTAGCGTTTAGGGTCTAGGGTTTAGGGTTTAGGGTTTAGGTTTTTGGGCTGTAGGGTTTAGGGTTTGGGGTTTAGGGTCTAGGATCATAAACCCCAAGCCCTCAACCCTAAACCCAAAACTCCCCCTTTTTCAACTTTGGGGGCACCAGGGAGTCGTACTCGGACCCTTGAGGATGTACCCCTAAGAGGTTCCCTCTATAGATTCCGAATATGGCCCTTATATTCCCCTAGAGGATCTTGAAAAATGGCCCCCAAACGCAAGGGTATAGGTCCCGCAACCCTAAACCCTAAACCCTTAAGCCCAAAGCCCTGAAACCCAAAACCCCTAAACCCTTAGCCCTTTAAACCCTAAACTTTTAATTTTACACCCACGCTAAGCCCAAGGCTACAACCTACCATATGGGTGTTTACGAAAGTGAGGGGCCCCGAATACAGACCCCCCAAACAATAGGATTCCCTGACCGTAAAGGACCCCAATGCGGTGCCCCTAATCTCGGAACCCCCCCATATCAACCCTAAACCCCTAAACCCCTAAACCCCTAAACCCCTAAAACCCCTAAAACCCCTAAACCCCTAAACGCCTAAAAACCCCTAAAACCCCTAAACCCCTGAACCCCAAACCCTAAACCCTAAACCCTAAACTCTAAACCCTAACCTATGATGGAGGCCGCCCCTCGCCGCTCTGGTTCGCAGCGGCCCACGGTCATGCCGAGGCCGCCAGATGAGGTAGGGTTTAGGGTTTAGGGTTTAGGGTTTAGGGTTTAGGGTTTAGGATTTAGGGTTTAGGGCTTGGGGTAGGTTGGGGCTCAGGCTAGTTTAGGGTTTAGGGGTTCAGGGTTTTCAGACCCTTAGGATGGTCTTGGGTTTAGTTTCCATGCGCTGTTGAAGGGCTCAGGGTTTGTCTAAAGGGTACTTGGAGGTTCATAGTACTTATTAACCAATTATAACTGTACTTACAACTGTACTTAGAACCATATTAGGGCAGTTAAGGGGCTTATAACTGGGTTATAAGTACAGATATAATTGGTAAATAAGTAGTTTCATGGGCCCTTAATACGGTCCCTTACCTCCTTTAAAGGGTTCTGAGGTAAAGGCCCTTACTTCGTGTAGGGTATGTATGGGGTACATAAGGGGTACCCTTTTTACATGCCCGTACTAAGGGACCATGTAGCTACCCTGAGACGGCTTGGGGTGTAGCGTTGTTTGGTATTTCGGGTTGAAGGTTTTTGGGTTTGGCGTCTATAGGCTGGTCTTCAGGTGCTGTGGGGCTTATACTTGTGCAGGGTGGTGCCGCATGTCAATCGGACTGCTATAGCCCGATGATGCAAGAGTCATTCGGCGTTCGGGTTGAGGGGGTTTAGGGTTTCGGGTTTGGGGTTCAGGGTGCTCTTGCACGGTGCAGGTCGTGCAACGCCTGGTCGAAGCCGGCGCATGCAAAGAGAAGGCGGGATGCAGAAACTCCAGGGGGCTAAACCCTAAACCCTAAACCCTAAACACTAAACCCAAAACCCGCGCACAGACACTACGATCCTTTGGGGATTTTGGGCCTTGCTGTCAACCTAAGACCCGGTACACCTAAGGTGCGAAGACCCGAAGACTCGTTCAAGCCCAAAATCCTTCAGGCCCTCAATTGGAGGCAGGGGCTTCCCCAGTTATGAGGCTTTTAGGTGGTTTAGGGTTCAGTGTTCAGGGTTTAGGGTTTAGGGCTACCGCTTCGTAGAGACATCGGGACAGCTGAGGGATCAGAGTCCCTGAAACGCAACCATGCCGCGAGGTCGATCCAGAGGACCCAGAGTAGGCCCTTTATTATTCCCCTTTTGAGGTTGAGGTTCCCTCATAATCCCCTTTAAACCAAAAAAAGGCACCTTATTTTCCAAGGAAAACCGAGCTCTTATTGGAGAGCCGTCTTTGTTGAGACGGTCAACGGCAATTCGTTGCATTCATGCTTCACTGACGTGCTTGTCAACGCGCGGCACGCAGCACTCACAGACAACTGAGTTCAAGCATCGGTCTCGAGGCAAACATCCTTCAACCCTAAACCCTCAATGTGTCTTAGGGGTATTTGCAAATATCTTTTCTTTTTGGGCAATATTATCCCTGAGAAACAGCAAAGAATTTTAACTTTTGCTAGGGTTCCAAGTTCAGGATCCCTAAACCCTAATCCCTAAAACCCTAAACCCTAAACCCTAAACCCTAAACCCTAAACCCTAAACCCTAAACCCTAAA